CCTATTTTCTCCCAGAAACTATTGTCTATTAACTAATAAGTCTAAAACTTGAGTGGGGATCTATGGCCCATGATTGTGTAACTAGAGCTCCATAATAGTATAAGGATACAGGATAGTTGAGATGTGTGTTAAGGGTCAGGTCAAGGAAGCAGCAAAGTAAATAAAGTCACAGACTGACCAACCAGTCAGCCTAACAGATGGACCAAGAAGGTTAATGGTAAATTGCGTTATCAATGCTGTATAAGCTATATTTATCATCCATCCTTTATCACGTGTTGGGATTTATGTCTCTGAAATGTTTCTGATGCTGATGAGCACCATCATAAATACTAAGGTCAAATGGAGGCAAAGTGACAGAAATAAAAAATGAGTGGGTTTTGAAGATTGCGCAGATGGTTAGAAATCCCTACATTATTTCCTTTTCCCCAAAAAAATGTGTTAGGTGACTAAAGCAGCCACCTTAGTCGCCAAAGTCATTAGATTTGGTACAACCATTTAAAAGATAATGCTTCCTGGAACCTGTTTAGAAAGTTAAGAAACCTACCATGTATATCCTATACAGTACGTGATTTCAAGTGACTCAGCCACAAAACTGATCTGAAGTCCCTGGGGAACTCATAAAATCCATTCCAATGAATTTGACAACACAGAAGGAAGAGCAGAAGGCAAAAACATCTTTCAAAATCAAATCACTGATGCATCATATGCGCATTTACATAGGCATTCATATTTAAAACTGCCAGTACAACCCCCATGTAAAATGTCTCACTAACCATTGAGAAACATTTGTAGGCATTTAGATGACTAGTGTACAAACTACTGTGGCAGTATACAAGAATCACCTGCAGTTTGTGTGTACCAGTGATGCTAAATCAAACAATATATATGTTCATGATCCTAAATTAAATTTAGGGGTCTATTCACAAAGCTGCCGTAGGCAGCCGAGTGATCAACCGACCCGAAGTGAAGTGAGCCGAAAATATTTATTTACTAATTTTATAACAAGAGCATTTTAAAAAACCTTAATGCTAAAAAAAAGAATTATAATAACCATAATGACCTATATTCTCCCAGTTCTGCAAAGGTCCGTGATTTGTAGACCAAATATAATACATAAACCATGAATTAGCAAATTAATTCACGTGATTCTGTGAATACTTTAGCTATGGAAGATTGCTACAATGAGAGACTTTTACCAATGCAAAAGATATAAATAGATCAGCACTGCCATTATAGATGTTCTTTTTGTTAGTGCATAGGACACTTTTTGGAATCATATTACATACCATAAAAACAGAAGGATCTGAACTGCACAGTCTAGTGTGCGTAAAATAGTTATATAACATTGTTGATATAGCATTTTCAAAAATAGATTTTGTTGGACTGATTCATTGATCTGGATTTGCTTGCCTCAAAACATAAAACCATCATTATTCATCTTCTGTATAAAACTGGTAGTTCCTTGCTATCAGAATAAGAATTAACATTTATATAGGATATTACAGGATATACAAAATATGCATATATACATATATATATATATATATTTGTTGTCTACATATGTCAGACATTTTAATTGTAAAAAATTGTATCATTTTCAAATCCCCAAATTAGTGTGTTGTTAATAAAACTTACCTCAAGCCTTTAGGGGGTATGTTGTATTTGTTCACCAAAAATCTCTCACATACCACAAATGGTCAGAAATATAATTGATTGCCAAATCACAGAATGCATTTTAGGATAATGAATGTCGTACCTTAATTAAGTGTTTCTATCAGCAGGTTTAAGAAACAGTGATGTATTTATTAAGTTAATCAATTAAATGCCTTGATTGAAATGTCTTCTAATTTGAAAATGGTTCATGGGTCAACAGCATTCATGTAGTCAACAAAGTCCATCAATGAATCCACTCAACTTTTCCAGTCAAAGAACATATTATCCATAAATCTCTACACATTGCTAAAAGATCTCATGAGGATAAATGAAAATGAATCCACTTAATCTACATACAGTTGGTCACCAGCAAATTGGGGTACTGGGCTACCCAATGATATCCCACCACCAGTCTGTATATAAGCCTTGATAAATGTGATAACCTACTGAAATACACTCTATATCAACAATTAAAGTGTTTCCATTTTTGAGAGAAAGTACAGTTATTAGAACATGTTTTACAAATGTAAATATACTATAGGAATACAAAGTGTTGGTAGACGCAAACTATGTAATACCTGAAGTAAGTGGCAGCTGGCAAAGCTGAGAATTGTATAGTGTCCAACAAAAAGAGGGTACCTAGGACTGCACAGCCTATAGAAGAGCCTTATAGAAAGCTTTGCAGTCAGTTCCTGTTTATTAAAGTGGGCCTTGCACTACAGGAAAAGTCCACTTTAACTTTGCCCCCCATACAAAAATGCAGCAAAAAATAAAAAAACAAACTTTAAGGAAAAAAAAATACTTACCTTTCCCCCTGCTTCGGTACTGCGGAAGGTGGCATCATCCTCCTTACGGTGACATCCTGAAGAATGCCTAGTAACCTAAATACAGTGCAGGAGCATATTCTACCATGATCTGGGCTACTCAGCATTGCCTGGAATTTTGTGCAAAAACACATTTTCTGAGACAGAAAAAAATGAATCTTTTATTAATACACCTATTGCTATCGAATAAACTGCAAATAAATATGTGCTTGTCCCTTCTATCCAAAGAGGAATGTGTGGAGCAGACCATGACGGCCTTTATAGATTTTCCAGTACTGAGATTATTAAAAGAAAAACCTAGACGATTAGATATATTAATACCTGCATATATGTAATTACCATAGAATAAAGATACTAATTTTGTTAAAAGGCTAACATTATTATTGGTAAGTAGCAATAAACAGATGAAAATTGCTATGTGTGTGCAAACTGAGGGCTTTAGGTAATGCCAGCTAGAGTAATTCTTGTTCCTAATGACATGTGTAATACTATCCTGCAGCAAGACAAGGCACCTCTGCTTGCATCAGTCCCACCACATGTCACATACTTTCTCCCATGGGTGACAGTGTCCTGCCTCGCCCAGGGCTGCCACCTCCCAGGCACAGGCTCTACTGGGGGAGGGAGATGTCAGAGCAGCCAGTGATCTCTATCACTTACAGTGCACCATGTGTTACCTAGTATAGAGTCACTGCTTTATCTGTCATTTATCCAGAGGAATGACACTGGGAGCCTGTATCTGATGTCCACAGAGTCTGGGAGCCAGGCATCAGAATCCTGAGCCAAAGAGGTAAGTGTGGCAAGATTCTGATCACAAATGAGGTGACATGTACAAAGTGAAATGAAAAGAATATTGTATGTTATCTTTGTGATCAAGAATCATTTAATAATCTGCTTAGGAACTAGTACTTATGGTGCTGAAACTCTTAATGATCACAGGAACAATTTTTAATCATAGATGTAAAATAGCATTGTCAATTAAGAAGGTTAATCATTGTAGTACAGTAGTATAGCAGTACAATGTTGTAAACAGTAGTTAGGCACGATAACATCCTTTCATAGACATACAGCATATATGTATTTAAAAAAAAACTATACTTGATTTATACTCTGCTCCTAGCGTGCTGTGTAATACTTTCAGTGGAATACAGAAATGACTATACGTTCATCGAATTTTCCATAACTTGATGATATGCTCATAGCATGGATATGCATATGATTGGTACAATGGGACAGGAGCCCTGAAATTGTTCAAAATGGATTTATTTTAGTAGGGAATTTCTTTGGGAATGTAATGTGTGTGATGTTATTCTACAGTTGTTGGCAGTAAAAGATATTTGTGCACATTGTTTAATTTTTAGTTTTTTAAATTTGTTTTTGTAAATGTTTAGTTCCACAATCTGATATTATTAAAGGAAAATATTTGTGTCATTTAGTGATATTACAAGTAAATATCTTATATCTTATATTGATGGCAAACAATTACAACTTCAAGTTTTGTGTGGTCAGCATAAATCGAGCCACATTGTTTTTCTGGGATTGTGCAATCTACTAGCTGAAGACTGAATTGTACAAAATTATCATGTGTGTTGGTTAATTTAAGATCTGATCCAACTGCAAACATTAAGAGCAGCAGGCAGCCCAGGATTGCCAGGGTCTAGGGTGTGACATCTGCTTGGGACACTATATTTATGGATCTTCTATGTTGTCTGTATTTTTGTATACATTTACTCTGGATTCACCACTTTCTCCTTGCAGTCCAAAATGATATATATTTGAGTTACCTGATTTCATATTAATCTGATCTTAGTATTGAAATATTTTCAATACTAAAACTTTGAAGAACGTGCTGACTTTACTGATAGGATTAATCACTGCAGTAAACCTGAGTTGGGGTGAAAGACCAGTTCTTGCTTCTACAATGCACTGGCTGCAGACCGTATATAAAATAAATGTCAATTATTCTTAAGTCTTTTTTCATAATACAGCTTTACAGACAAATATGGTTTCTTCTGTAAGGGTCATTCAAGGGGAATTTAAAATTCAAAATTCAGGCAGACCAAATCTGCAGTAGTTGCCCATCACAACCAGTCAGCTTCTATCTTTAATTTTTAAAGCTTAACTGAACAAAATGAAGAGAGAAGCTGACTGGTTACTATGGGCAACTTCTCCAGATTCGGTCTGCTCCAGTTTTGATAATTTTCCCCCATTATGAATTCTCAGTTTGCAGGGGGGATTGTCTCTTATAGCTTCTTATAGGTGAATGAGGTCAACTCTGTTGACTCTGTTGACTTGCATCATCCAATCATGTGCAAGCAGAAATACAGATTAAAAAAAATGAAAATATCCATTGAACGTGATTGAGTATTCTGAATTTTCCCCACATTCACTAAGCTAAGTGAGACTTCAATTTGCAAAGTGAACACTTTACTCCTTTAGTAAATCAAACCCATAGTGCTTTGTCATGCTGCTTTATGAAGAATTCTTATTAATCATTTGTGGTTTTTATGTAGAGTACCATAAGACATGGGAAATGGCTCCATGAAACCCAAGCCATTGAGGCAGCCACATGGACAACTACTGAACTTCTCTGTCAGCACCTGCACCAGTCTTCACAATAGAGAATCGCCTGATGGAAAAGTTTGGGAACTTGAGAGAGAACTCAAGCTGAAAGAAGAAGAACTGTTAAAGAAAGAACACGTATTTCAGGAGTTGCAGGAGCAGTTTACCAAGCAAACCCAAATGATTGCTGAAATCACAGAAGAACTTCAAAGCAAGTGTGTTCAGCTTAACAAACTGCAGGATGTTGTTAATACTCATGGAAAACAGTCTTTAACACCGGCTTTAAAAATGTTGCACTCTTCCCCAACTAAACATCTCCAGACATCACCTTCAAGAGCTTTACAGACTTCACCATTTAAGACTTTATCTGGGTTTTTCAACAACAGCAAAAGAAAGGGAGCCAAGGAGGGGATATCAGCGGAGCCAACTACCAGAATATATGATCAAAGTAGTCCATTGGAGTTTTCATTTGAGAAAGCTTGTGTTAGGAAAGATTTAAGGTAAGCTCTAATGGTTAATGCACAGTCTATTTACTTTACAAATACATTGCTTTGTTTTCTTTAAGTGCTATGTGGTGTAACTCCCCCATCTCCCTCATTCAAAATCACTGCTTCTTTTTATGGAAAAAAAGGATAATATATATATATATATGTGTATATATAAATGTGTATATATACACTGAGTGGCCAGTTTATTATGACATTTGTAGGCAAATTAGCTATAATCCGCTATAATTTCACACTGAAGTTGCTAGAGGGCCAGACCATTATAAATAGGGAAGCAGGTTGTTTACCACGACAGTAGAAGTGATTTTTTTTCTGAAGATATGGGTAAACAACGCGATTTAACAGCCGTT